AATGACAATTGTTTTGAGAGAGGTTTATTTAGGTAGATAGATAAAAACTTTATTGATCCCCGAGGGGAAATTGCGGTGTTGCAGCAGCAAATTGACACAGAATACAAATAATTTCCACACCAGACTGTGGGTAGGAAGGACTTCCTGTAACGGTCCTTGCTACAGCGGAGTTGTAGGAGTCTCCAGCTGAATGCACTCTGCCGCCCGACCAGCAGGTTGTGCAGCGGACGTGAAGCGTTGTCCGTGATGTTAAACTCCAGGGGCCCCAGAGCAGACCCCAGCACAGAGCCAGCCTTCTTTATTAGCTTGTTCAGTCTCTTGCTGTCACTGGCTCTGATGCTGCAGCCCCAGCAGATGGCTGCAAAGAGAATTACGTTTACGACAGACTGATGGATCATATACAGCATCTCCAGGGGCATCTCCTGCTGCATACATTAAGCATTGTAAATAAACGTGTGAAACGAAAGAAGTTTTTAATAAATCCAAAATTGTAACCCTAACCCGTAAAGAAGGGCGCGTCGGTGCGCTTTTGTGTGGTTGGTAGAAGAGGAAGAGAGACAGAGCGCCAGCTGCGCCGGTGTTGTGCGTGAACTCTGCAGGACATTGATTAACTATGGAAGCCCTAAGCGGCCATCCTTTCAAATATTTACTTCATTTTTTTGTGAAAACTGGAGAATTATTTTGTGATCTCCAGATAAAGACTGTTTTTTCCCCGTGATAAGATGACAAACCATAGCTGAATACAGGGGTCGGCCGGGGTGTTTCGCAGTGTGACTGGTTAGCTCAGTTTGCAGAGTGCAGGGCTGGTAATCCAAGGATTGACTCCTGTTCTTAATAAATTTGTTTCTTCTTTTGTGTATTTTTTTTTTAACATCCTCTTCAACAAAGTTGTTAAGAAGAGATTGAGGGGAACGCAATCACACATTTCCCGACGTCAGGAAAATGTGTAACGTTAAATGGATTCCCCTGAATGAGAAGCACAGGAAGTTCCTCTGCCTGTAAATGATGGGGAAATGAAGAGTCCAGAGGTTGATGGATGTGGAATAATCACCGGTCTCTTCATAAGAACTTTTCTGAAGAAGGAAAAAAAGGAACAGAAAGTTGGTTTTCCATGAGGATCATAGTCACAACTCCAAGAGTATGAGTCCTGTGCTCCAGCGGCTGAGCTAACCACTGATATACATAGTGAAATGACCAATTTAACTACCGTTTTGTTATCTAGAGATCAAGAGACATTATCACGGGAAAACAGAGTAAAACAATGTTTGAATTGATGGCTGCTTAGGGCTTCCATAATGAAGCCCACAAAGAATATTAAATCGTTTTTAAACAGCACTTGGAATAGACCAGCAAGGAACCGTGGCGTGCATGAGCATCGTCCAAAAAAGTAACTTAAACTAGAAAAAACAAAAACATAGTGATCCTAAAGTGAACCTCAAACGTGCAGCTCCAATCTGTAACTTTAACAAAACGACTCCGATCTGTAACTTTAACAAAACGACTCTGTAGTAGCCTACACTACGCACTTTTGATGCGCCATAATTTGCAGTTTTCTACCTCATACCAAGCCCCTGCTCCACATAGTAAAATCACATGTGCTGCAGACTGTTTAAATTGTTTTATCATCCGAGCCCTTTAGTCAGCACCACTTTTTAAATAAGTAACATCCAGCTGAATCCAATTCAAAGGATGCTGTTCTGCACGTGACGGGGTGATGAAGGGGATCTTGGGTTCACCGGACAGGGCTGTGGGGCCGCATCTGACACGCTGAGCTGAGAGTAACGCTCGGTTCGTTATGCAGAGGAAACATCGACGCAGACCACGAGAGCTGTCCGCTCCGAGATGCCCTCAGATGAAACGTCTGGCCCCCGGCTCGCTATCTTCCCTCCCGGTCTCTGTGCAAATCAGTCAGATCACATCACGGACTGAATTATGGGGTGTTTTATTTTCTTGTCCTCTATTTTTGTCTTTTATGTCTGCCTTTAACCGCCATCACCACCAACGTCTTCCTCTCTGATGACTGGAGCGCCACGCAGAGAAACTTATAGAGGTCAAGATCCTAATTTTATCCCGTCAGAAATGATTATAATGTATGCGCAGTGACCTCATCGCAGGGTGTCAAGGACTTCTCACCAGTATCGGTGACAGAGAGACGGCACAATAGGGAGATGATTAAGTGCAGTTCTTAAGATAAAGGCCTCTTCTCTTTATAATTCAGTCTCCTGCTCTGACTGTTGTGAGGATCTGAAAGATAGACAGGGCTGTCAACAAAGACAAAAAAGAGAATTTGAAATATTTTTCAGGCTGCAGTGATTTTTTTCTTTCTAAGGATTAGGTTTTAAGATGATTCTTTTTTCGGGCTGTAAGTGGAAAAAGGGTTTTCATTATAGGTTCGGCTCTTCTTTAACAAGACACATGGGCCATTACCCGTAGATCACAAAGCCATGTCCCGCACCGACCTGGACCATCGGGTTGGTGCGGGACATGGTCAACTGGTTGATGGTCATTTACCTTTCCCTTCATCAAATGTGAAGTCCAGTCTGTTATGCAGCAGCTGACACATCACTCCTATTTTAGCCTCACTGCACTAGCTGCTGGTTAACCTCTTGGTACCGGACCGATACCGGGCAGGTGATCGATGTTCGCTAGCATCTTGCTGTTTTCTGTCCAAAAACAGCGGCCCTTTGTGTCAACAGAGACCGTCTGGCGGGCCGCCGTCTTGGTGAGGTCGGCTGAGCCGATAAGTTTCCTAAGTAGAGAAGAAGAGTTTGCTTTGGCGGAGGCGGTCTTTATCGCTCTCTGACACACAGACTACACAGACATGCAGGATATCAATCAATTCGTCTCTTCAGTACGAAGAGAAAGAGCTCACTCACAGCCCTGTATGATGTTCTGTTCTCAAGCTGTGGCCTGTAAAGCATGGGAGTGCTTTAGGTCGCAGGAATATTGACTGTTTTTATCAATATTTCAATGTTTTGGAAGCTTTATGTTATTTGGAACGTGGTTGTGTGGAGAGAAATAATGTTTTGAAGATAACTCCCAATAAAAGTGAACATAGAAACAGTAAATATGGCCAAAACATGGACATTCGCCTGCTATATTTATGAAAGATTGTGTAATAACTGTTGTAAATCAGTTTCTTTTCATCAGATTTACAGTTACAGCTGTTTTCCAGGTGGAGTAGAAGATATTCAGGTGCATTATAATCTACCTTATGATGGTTTTGATGGTTTACTGCATTAAAATATAGCTTTTTTTTTTACCAGGCGAGGATGAAAATATTATATTTTATTGTTTATTTATTGTATTTCATCTCCATGTAGTCTGTAATGATAAAATAAATAAGTTAATGTACAATGGATTTATATTCCTCAGATTCTGACCTTTCAAAGGAGACCAGGATTATGCATCTAGGCCTGATGGTTGAGGAGATATTACGGATTTATTTTAGGTGTTTTCCCTGGAAATAGGTGCCAGGTAGCATGTGGTTAAGTTCAGGCTTGGTTTTAAATGTATCTTAATGACTTATCAGACACTACATGGCTCAGCTCCTGCCTACATTTTTAAGCTACTAAGCTCTTACACCTCTGAGCGACCTGCTAAACAAAACCTGTTGGCTCTATCGTGCCAAATGTAAAACTATCATCCAGACTCCTCCCATTAGATCAGCTGAGTCTGTTTCTTAAAGAGCATCTAAACCCCCCCCCACCCACATTCCTTAAGGGTGGCTTTTTTAATAAATTCCTTTGGTTGCCGAATGCTTTCTGTGGTCGTACGTGCGGTGCATTTGTTTGTGGGTGTATGTGGATGCCCCTTTAAATGTTTTTCTCCTGTATCACTACTTGCGTTTTTATGTTTATGCTTGATATTATGTGTTTAAAAAAAAGGTGCCATGTAAATAAATACTTACTTATGTCTACATTCACTCATTTAGCAGATGCTTTTTATCCAAAGCAACTCAAGCATCAGGACAGTAAGATCTACAAGTAACAATCGATACTAGTAAGAGCAGCAATAAATAATAGAAAGAGCTTAATGAGATCAGTACCTAGGGGAAGGAGCACGAGTTAACGATTAGTGCAGTGAATACAAGAGAATTGTTAGGAGACGGAAGAAGAAGAGCACAGGAAGTGCATGTTAGGTGTTCTAAGACAAAGTGTTCTCATAAGAGAAGAGTTTTCAGGAGCTCCTTGAAGTTAGTCCAAGTAGTCTAACAGCGTTAACTGTATAGACATGACTAATATTATTATTGTTACTATTATTATATTTTCCTCGTTGTTTTGAGAGTGTTTACTCACACATTTGTTTTGGGTTTCCTTCTTTGGCCTTCGACCTGTTTCGTGAAGTCTGTTTATCGTCATAGTTAACGATAATCTCTTAATTTACTTATGCGATTAGAAAACCTACACACCACCTCTTGCGTTTCTCAGCCCATTGTGATTTGTGCAGAGGTTAAATGTTTGGAGCTATTTCTGGTGATCCAGACAGAGCTCAGGTTTTTTCTCATTCCTCTAAAATGTTCATGTCTTGCCAAACGTTTTATGACCAGATGCAAAGTGTTGTCTTGGCATGTGTTTAGGAAGCGTTACAGGCAAGAGTGCCAGAGGTGCCGCCTCTAAGGTGGTTTGTTTTAGCATCTACAGAAGGTGCCAGGAAGACATCTTTGAACTTCTATAGTTTTTGTTGCCGGGAAGGCCCGCCCTCGTGCTGTACGTTGCCTCTGCTCTGTCAGTTACGATGTGGTGGTGTTTACCCGTGTTATCTGTTTGCGTGCCAGCGGTGGCAGAGTGAAGAGGTACATTTGTCTCTGAGATGTTTTACATAAAAGCAGTGATTTAACTGCAGACAAACACTTAGATTAGGAAACACATCTTTGTTTGTACTCTTCACGCTTGAGTGCTGCCGTCAGACTCGGCGCTGGCTGGCTGGCTGGTGATTATCAAAGCTTAATGAATAAGCCTCCTTCTGTTTTGTTGACCCGTTGTTTCGCTGTCTCTCAGGGTTCGACGCGTACTTCACGTCACGGACTCTGGAGAACAACAGGAGGAATGTGTGGTTTGCCGAGTACTGGGAGGAGAACTTTAACTGCAAGCTGATGAGCTCCTCCAAGAAAGACGAGAGCAGCAGAAAGTGTACAGGTAAGTTTATTAATGTTTAAAACCTGGATGCACACTAACTGATGGACCGATGGGGACTCCCTCACGGGTAGAGAGCGCTATTTGAGGGTTAAGATGTGGTTTTAGGGTTGAGGTTACAGTTAGTTTCGGGTGAGGGTAAGGGGCCAGCGAATGCATCATGTCAATGAGATGTTCCCATGAAGATAGAGGAACAAACGTGTGTGTTTGTGTGCAGGTAAATCTTCTTTGTACGTCCACACACGTGTTGTACGGATTGTAAGAACAAGCCTCAGCAGACGGTTTGCTTTGTTTTGAACTGGGTGGTGGGATGATGGCCGCTCCATCGTCCATACTGAAGCTACTTTTTCAAAGCTCTTCATACAGTTTGCATTTCCAACATGCATCTTGGACAGTTACTCCAGGAAGCCACTGACGCTACGGCACGTTACGGCTGCGCCACGGTTTTGATGCCTCCTCAGCCCGCCGTCAAAGTCCACTGGAGGCGTCTCAGAAGCGTTTCAGCAGCGGAGCGTGCAGCCAGGCCCGCGTTATTTACTTATTAATTTGTCCTTTTCATGCCTCTACTACCTTCTCCACAGCTCTATGTGACCCCGTTTCCTTACGTCAACTTCAGGCTGCATTTCCCACAAGGAGAATTTCAGAATCAGAGCGTTTTGCCTCATTTTGCTGACATGTTTAGATTTTGTTGATTTGGTAATCAGTGTTTGCTATTTGTGCTTCTACTGTGATTAAGTAGGCCAACCAGTGTTTATTGTCGTTTTACGATCGGGAGTCTACAAAGGGTGTTTTATTTTGAAAAGTGACCGGATTCCCTCTGCCGTTATGTGTCTGACTTCCTGCCTGGACCCAGTATTTAGCGTAACTCCATCAGCTGTAAACACACCGCTGAACGCTGGCTGCTGTTTCCTAGCTATGAATTTAATGCTGACATACGATCTCAGGCGGACGTCTGCGAGACTTGTGTGATATTTGACTGTTTTGAATGGGATTTATTGGTTTGCAAACAACGGTGGAAAAGAGACAAGCAGTCGTAGAAAAACACCGGACATTCTCCAGTTAAAGCCAGTAGCCTCTACTCGCCCATGAATTTCACTGTAAGGCAAGACCCTGGTCCCTCCAGTGGAAAAACACCTCCAGAGGTTCCTAGTTCTGGGGTAAAGTTCCTTTGGTCGAAACGCAGCTATAGATGTAAACTCTGTAAACATAAAATTTATGTAAATATTCTGCTAAGATTTTCTCTATTTTATTCTGGATCATTCTGTTTTGGGTGTTAGAATTTGAGAAATGTGCTGCAGATAAAGACTTCTGCAGGTGGTGCAGTAGTGATGAGAAAAGAGGTGAAAAGTAGTCATTGAATGCAGTTTGTGTGAAAACAATGAAAAAGAGTTTTGACCAATGCATATTAGCGATTGCAAAAAAACTGTAAAAGAATACTGAGGTGCCGACACGAGGATTCGATGTTCCAGCAGAGAACAAAACCAGCAATCCTTGAATTTACAGCACTAACAGGTGGAAATTGTGCGTAACTGGTATTTCACAAATTGAAATCCTCTACAGCCCTGAGCTAGACAGAAGAAAGTCTTAGAGAAAGAAGACATTCCTTAAATATCTCTTCAGGCAGAGTATCAGAGTGAACACTATCAGTGCATATTGACTTTTTGCATACACTTGGTCTTTTCTTGTGGAGGTTGTTGGGAAAGTATTGCTGCAGTTGGAATGGTAAACAGAAACTCATAAGTCTCTCTGCTCTACAATCAATAATGCATAGCAATTACTGACCCAATATGATAGTGTGAACAGAGCCTGAACACTAATGAACCTGTTCTATTAGAGTATTGATTGAAGCCACAAAAGAACAGCTTATCTGGTCTCTTCTATTTCTTTAGATTTGTCTCGTTGCATTTCTGTTACCTCCTCTCTCATTTCCTGCTCCCACTCTAATTAATGACACTTATCTGATTGATATTTAAAAATAGGAATTTGCAGCGCCTAATTTATCATCGAAATTCCCATTTCCCTGTAACACTTTGTTCCCCCTTCTTTACTGTGACTTCCACACATTTTAATTCGAACCACAGAGACTACCGGGATCATTTGTGCCCCCAGAACTGAAACTTGAATTACATAATGAACACGTCTTCGGTCCCTCTGCACTCTCACTGCCAGCAGGCAGGAGACGAGACACACCAGCAACTTTATTCTACCAAACTACACTAATGATGAGAAATTCCACCAAACTCACCGCATGAGTATTAAAGAGGATAATACTTTATTACATTACTTATGATAATACTTAGTATTAAAGGTACTCAGAGGAGGATAGTACTTCATATATTACTTATGATAATACGTTTTGCAACTCGTTGTGGTGGTTTTGCGTCTCTTTGTGGTTGTTTTGCGTCTCTTTGAAGTTGTTTTGCATCTCTTCTTCGTTGTTTTGCATCTCTTTGTGGTTGTTTTGCATCTCTTGTTCGTTGTTTTGCATCTCTTGTTCGTTGTTTTGCATCTCTTGTTCGTTGTTTTGCATCTCTTGTTCGTTGTTTTGCGTCTCTTTGAAGTTGTTTTGCATCTCTTCGTTGTTTTGCGTCTCTTTGTGGTTGTTTTGCATCTCTTGTTCGTTGTTTTGCATCTCTTCGTTGTTTTGCGTCTCTTTGTGGTTGTTTTGCATCTCTTGTTCGTTGTTTTGCATCTCTTTGAAGTTGTTTTGCATCTCTTGTTCGTTGTTTTGCGTCTCTTTGAAGTTGTTTTGCATCTCTTCGTTGTTTTGCGTCTCTTTGTGGTTGTTTTGCATCTCTTGTTCGTTGTTTTGCATCTCTTTGAAGTTGTTTTGCATCTCTTGTTCGTTGTTTTGCGTCTCTTTGTGGTTGTTTTGCATCTCTTGTTCGTTGTTTTGCATCTCTTTGTGGTTGTTTTGCATCTCTTGTTCGTTGTTTTGCGTCTCTTTGAAGTTGTTTTGCATCTCTTCTTTGTTGTTTTGCGTCTCTTTGTGGTTGTTTTGCATCTCTTGTTCGTTGTTTTGCATCTCTTTGTGGTTGTTTTGCATCTCTTGTTCGTTGTTTTGCGTCTCTTTGTGGTTGTTTTGCATCTCTTGTTCGTTGTTTTGCATCTCTTTGTGGTTGTTTTGCATCTCTTGTTCGTTGTTTTGCGTCTCTTTGAAGTTGTTTTGCATCTCTTGTTCGTTGTTTTGCATCTCTTGTTCGTTGTTTTGCATCTCTTGTTCGTTGTTTTGCATCTCTTGTTCGTTGTTTTGCGTCTTTTTGTGGTTGTTTTGCGTCTTTTTGTGGTTGTTTTGCATCTCTTGTTCATTGTTTTGCATCTCTTGTTTGTTGTTTTGCATCTCTTATTCATTGTTTTGCGTCTCTTTGTGGTTGTTTTGCATCTCTTGTTCGTTGTTTTGCATCTCTTGTTCGTTGTTTTGCATCTCTTTGTGGTGGTTTTCCGACTCTTGTTCGTTGTTTTGCGTCTCTTTGTGGTTGTTTTGCATCTCTTGTTCATTGTTTTGCATCTCTTATTCATTGTTTTGCGTCTCTTTGTGGTTGTTTTGCATCTCTTGTTCGTTGTTTTGCATCTCTTATTCATTGTTTTGCGTCTCTTTGTGGTTGTTTTGCGACTCTTGTTCGTTTTTTTGCGTCTCTTTGTGGTTGTTTTGCATCTCTTGTTCGTTGTTTTGCATCTCTTATTCATTGTTTTGCGTCTCTTTGTGGTTGTTTTGCATCTCTTGTTCGTTGTTTTGCATCTCTTATTCATTGTTTTGCGTCTCATTATGGTTGTTTTGAGACAAAGACTAATCAGGGTTTTGGCATTTCTCAGTGTTCACTGAAAGAAATGAATAAAACATGGAGTTGCCGAGGTTTGTGGCAGCACAGCATCTCAGTGGTGAGCACTGTGAGCCCACAGCAAGAAGGTTCACATCTCTGCCCTCATCGTATCTGTGTGGAAATGATAATGAATCAACACGCTCAGCTGCAATATGGGTGGTGATCTTCAAAAACAGAAGTCATCAGAGGGAAAGGTTGCTGCCTGCAGTTACAAACAGCACGCTGAATATTCTGCCTCGGAGTGCTGATTTCTGAATGTGTGGTCCGGTTTTTGTGACCTAAACACAGACCCAGTGTCTGGCTTCAAAGCTCTGAACTTTGCAGGCGGGGATAACGTTTCACACCACAGTATAATTTGAAAAACTTTGTAGTAGTAAATAAACAACCGGCGCCTTACAGCTGTAAGGTCCTGGATCTGAACCAGCTGACTGGGACCTCTGGTTCTCCCCCCCCCTCCATCACCTCTGGTTTCCTCCCACAGGAGAATTTGTGACTGCAGGCTGAACTGTAGGTGTGAGTCTGAGTGTGTGTTAGCTCTGTCCACTGTGCGCTCTGCCTCTCACAGTGCATGCTGGGATAATCTCCGACCCTCTGCGACCCTGAACAGGATGAATGGGTGCAAGCGTCCTACCTGGAAAACAGCCCGCATGCTTTTACAAGCGTTGTGGAAAATAAACATGACACCCTTAACAATGCGGCCTCATGCGTCCCGGTGATGTTGAGCGTGCGGTCAGTGAAGAGCAGTCTATCAGTCATGATTGCTGTAATAAAGCTGCCGCATGCTGCAGCATTAGGCTGCTGGATTTTGGTTTGTTTAGAGGAGGTGGCGACTTTACAATCAACCGTTATTCACACGGAGTGGCTTTATGTGGCTTGATTGCGGCGGTGTTATCTATTTGAAAAGATGAAAGTAATTAAATGAGCCGATATGATGATATTTTGTACTGCATGACTGTGTTTATTGCATCAGCTGTCAGAGATTAAAGAGCTCAAATATAAAAGCATTTGAATATACAGTATATTATTACAGTAACCCAGGATGCTCTGATTTGTAAAATATGTGTTGCACCACGTTAAAGTCTGGCAAGTCTGGTGAACTGACAGACAACAATACCTGAATGTAACGGCGAAGACCTTCATTATTATCAGGTTATAAACATGTTATAAATGGTTTAATGAAGT